TGCAGCCCAGTAAAGTTTTACTTTCCCGACTCTGTTATATATAACAGAGGTAAAGTATGGTAATCGTTCAAAAAATGACTCCCAAGGTTTTTATATTTTTGGACTCAAGGGACCTTGAAACGTCGAGATGTGGAAAAAAAGATTTTTTTCTACGTGTATTGATGTTCTTGTGGGGACACAATTTCTTTCACCCAGTTTGAAGCTTAATAACTGCTGGACTTTTGTTAAAAATTTCTAAAATTTTGCAGAGAGATTTGTGCATTAAGGAGAAATATTTCTAGAAATTTTCAACAAAACTGCACTATTCAGACATGGTCGTCATCCCCTTAATATCTCCTCAACCAATCTCGAGACATAAAAGGGATGAAAATAAATAATGCTGGAAACGTCTAGCAAGAATATTGCCAGTTTTCTAACACCTAACATCACTATATTTTCAATAAAAATATTATTTTTTGACGTCTGACCTACCTGTGATAAATGTAACATTTCATTTTTCACAAGAATTTATTTAATCAAGCTTTTTTGATAGTCAAAACTTNTGGAAATGACAAAAATAAACAGTTTATTTATTTTTTTTAATTTTAAAATAAATATTTTGATATGAAAGAAAAGATATAAGAAGTTATCTATGAAAATAATCGCACAATATGTATTTATATTTTAGAAAATACAAGGGAAGCGGCGCTTCCACAGCTTCCATGGTCAGCACTCTACTGTTAAATTGCTATATGTCGTGCGAACGCGCTTGCCTTCTCGTAGACTTAACATTATACTTTTGCCATTCCGCCATGCTTGAATCGTTGTATCTTTATCAAAACTCTTTCTAGTGGCATCATCTACAGGGCAAGAGCTATATTTTGATACTTGAACTATGTTTGTATCTTCAGCCGTTCTTTCAAACGAAACTGGAGAGTATTTGAGGCTTACAAAATTAATATATAGATTCACCTAAATTTGTTTAACGACTATTTCACTTATTGAAAATATAATCCAAGACACTTGCACATAACTAATAATAATACTTCTACATACTTCATTTTAATGTTTTTAAAATTCTATAAAACAATCGTGCATTACAATGCATCATCATTACAATGCATTTACACAACATACACATAACATTAAATTCTGTGTTGGGTTACGTTTATTGGGTTTCGGCGTGGGGGTGAGTCACTCTCCTATCATTATATTATTAAAATGCTTTCATTAAAATCCTATCATTATATTATTAAACATTGGACTTTTATGTAAGTATATTCTCAAAATTCTACTCTTTTATCTTAATTAGAAGTGAACAAATTTAAGCTGCAAGATTTTAAGACATGAACCGATTAAAATCATTTTGTTTCTTGTTGCCAGACCAGATACCCGGCTTATGGCGTCACGCAATACACACTTTCAAACTGAGTTTAAAATTAAGAATACGTATTAAGATGATGGTTTATACCTCCACCTCAAGTTAGTACTGTCTTGCCCCTGTACATCATACTTTTCCTGCTAGCAACGGAGTCGAGTCGAGTCGATCTAACTCCATTCAGGGGGAAATATTTAAATTGAAATAACGTAATTTCCGGTTTGCGTCGGAAGTTCGTATATCATTAATTAGTTCCTCCTCCCCCTAAGCTTTCTATATCTGGTCTTAATTTTTATGTGTCTTATTCCGTTCTCTAAATTCATTAAGGACAGACAGACGGACAGAGAGACAACAGTGGGAATTTAAAACATCAGTAAGAATAGAAAAAACTATTTACTACCTTATATCCTTTAACATTATAGTTTATATTTCACAAATATAGTCTATTGTTTTACCTTAATTTATATATTTATTGTAGAATATTTTATAAATTTCTGAAGAATTTTTCTTTATTCAAATTATCTTAATTAACTTGTAAAATGGAATTAATATGCGAAAATTTCCGTTTTAATTACTATCAGTATTATAATGCTTGTCTCAGAGAATTAGTTTCAAATCTATATTTATTTTCATTTATTATTTAATTTCAAAATGAAAGTTAATTAAAATAAATAATGGTTTCTTCAGAAAAAAAAATATTTATACTTTTAAAATCTTTACAGTAATTTTTTTTTAATTTCTAAAAAAATTCAATTGTAGAAGACATTAACGAAATTTTATCTTTGCACACCTGTAAATTCTCACGATGTACAAAAGAAAATGTATGATGTACTAGAGGCAAGACACTACTAAATTGAGAGCATTGTGACGTAAAATTGAATCTCGGCATTGTGATATGGACACAATAAATAATGGCTCGTTGATATTTTCAGTTTGATTTCTCGTACAGAAAAGGCACTATTTAAAAATTGGAGAATTAGTGCCAAAAACTCATCACTTTTTGAGGTGTAGTATTTTGGTATCGTTAATGACATGTTGCAAATTTGGCAGCTTCGGAAGTTAGTATTTAAATAAAAAAATTATAATGCAACAAAACGTTCATCGTTAAAATCAGTTTGTAGTCATATCCTTTATGTTGTAATTCCTATAAACGTAATATTGATTTACATAAACTACCTACATAAGATATTCAATTAATGTTGTATCAAATATGGCTTTTAGAATAATCTTTTTCATAAATTGAATCTCCGTATCATCTATTTTATATTTAATTTAAACCCTTTCACACATAAAATATGCTATTTTCTTTAGCTTAAGTCAGCCCACGTCTTTTCTTAATATCAATTGTAAATTTGTATATACCCAGATAATAATTTACATTAACTAACATTAATCTTATATAAATTCGATGTTTTTCATTTATTATGTTCGAATTATTAGTAAATAATTGATAATTAGTTCTTTATAAATTCTCTACTATTTAATTGTTTTAATTTATTCATTTGCACCCTTATAATGTTCTGTTGAGTTAACTTTCTTACAGTTGTAAATGCTCGTAATATTTCTTCTGTTTTACTTTAGAAATAAGTCTAGAAACAATTTTATATAAAATATCTATTACATTTTCATCCGATAACTTTTGAATTCTTTTTCATTTTTCACCATTACTAATATGGCGACGGAGCAATTGCCTGCAATATAGCATTAAAATATGCAAAAAAATAGAGATAGAACGACGTGGTTCTCGATTAGATATTACTATTGATCCGATAGTAATATCGTGTAAACAAATTAAAATATTGAATTTCACCAGAAAAACCTTTCGATTAAGATTTTTGCTCGATTCACATTTTATAATTCTGTATTGTATAATGGATGATACTAATCATTATATGAGACAGCCGCAACTGACAAAACATTTCTCAAATTACTGAAACGGTAGCATTAGTCAATGGATTTAATTTTGCAATTCTATTCACTGCATTGATTGGTTCTGCGTTCACAAATATCAGAGGTATGTCGAATTATTCCACAGAATGCCACAATGGAGCCACATATTAAACGTTAACACAATGTTGTTTTGAACATATGTTCGTGTGCACTTTTATGGTTTAAATTATTCGAAGAATAATCAGCTTCTGGAAATTTTCGTTTGTATTTAGTAAGAGTAGTGAATCAGTGTTTATGGAAACGATTTATTTTTTCATGAATTCTAATGTGTTTCAGTCCAAAGGACAGATGGCCACAGCGTCTTTTCTTTATAAATAAGTAAAAATTAAAATAAAATAAAATATTAATTCATTTCATTGATACGTTTATGTTTAGTTTTTTTTTTTTTTGTCCTTTCTCACTTATTCATGATTCTCTTTTCTATATGTTTGTTAGATTGAATTGACTTTGATCTTTTCCTATAATTATGAAGAATAAACATAGTGCTTTTAAGTAATTGAACATACTCAAGAAATAATAAAGAATTTAAAATTTTTATCTTTAACATATTGGGCCTTATGTCTGTCTATACATAACAATTTGTGACTTGAATAATTCATACCCATTACTTTAGAAATAACATGTAATAAAATATATTCAATTATTTATATTAAATTCTATTAAAATTTTAAAAATATTTTTGAAATCAACGTAAACATTGATTCAAAAATTTTTCTTTAAAAGCAATATGTTCTAAGAGCAATTATAAAGGTTAATTTTGTAAAAGTTAGAGCAAGAAACATTACTATTTTTATTCTATTCCTATCAAAATTTGATAAAAATATAAATACAATAAAACCTGTTCAAACGAAAACCTGCCAAATCGGAAATAATATTCGTTGCCGTGTCCTGTTTACACAGGTTTTGCTGTATAAACGTTAAGAATGTAAATCTATTATCTAAAGAGGACTGCAGAGTGATTTATATATAAAACTAATATTAGTTGTTTTAAAAAGTAAAATAAACGTTTACGTTAAGAGAAAAAATGAATTTAAAAAATTATTATTTAATGTTTTAATTTTTCATTCATAATTAAGACAAATGAAAATAATTTATAGTTTGTTGTAGAGAATTTCGTCTTCAAAAAATAAAGATCAATTATCAATGTAAGTATTCTACTCATTTNAGCTACTTATAAATAAAAAGGGATTTATGTTTTATTTAGAAAATGAATTACTAATTTTGTTTATAATTTTTATATTCAGTAGATTTTTATTGAATTTAATATTTTATTTTGAAAAAATATATATGTATTAAAACCAACAACTGTTTATTATAACATCGTCACAATGCCTGGCTACAATTTTTAATTTATTTCATTTAAAATATACGTTCTCCACCTCCAATTAGTAATGTGTTGCCCCCTGTACATCATACTTTGCCTGCTAGCAATATAGTCGTGCAACATAGTCATCTATCTGAGTTCTTTCAGGAGAAAATTTTGAATTGGAATTACGTCACGTCCGGTTCAGACCGGGTGTTCGTATATAGTTAATCGATGCCTCCTACCCTTAAAGTTTTCCTATCGGGTCTCATCTTACATCTTTTTAACTCCGTTCTCGAGATGAAGGAAGGACGGGCAGAGTGACAAACAGACGGATGACAGTTGCAATTTATAGGTCTATAATTTTTTCAAATTTCAGCCCAATAAATATTGAATTTCTATACTATATTTTATTCGGTTTGTTATATTTAGTCGGATATTTGTTATTGATCGAAATATTTATCTGTATTTTTTAACAATCATATAAGTAATTGTACATCGCCTTCATACTGGATATTGTATAAGCAAATGTATCAGCGTTATCACGGATAGCCTAGTAATTAAAACAGTAAAATGTTAAGAAACTGAAAGAAATATTAACATTTTTAAATTAATTTTTAAAAAAGAATTTTTTATAACCACAAATGTACTAAAGATAATTTAATTTAATTAAAAACTACTTTGGTTGCTATAGAACCGTGTTTTGTATCATCTACTATTAATCGGGACCTCTTATGCTTTCTATATCTAATAAGGCCTTTTATCTATATCACTCAGTTCTCGAGATGAAGAAATAACAGGTGGGCGGATGCTATTGGATATTTTACGTCTCCAATTTAAAAATTATGGCCCAAGTAGACAACTTTACTTATACAAGGTATTTTCTATATAATGTTTAATATTATATAGTGGTCAGCAGACATGGACATTCGCACATGGGGCAAACTCGATCTCGACGAGGTAATTTATCGAGTAAACACTGCCACAAATTATAACCGTAAAAGTGATTAAGATACGTAACATTACATCCTAGACTATGAGACGGTTATTTGTCTCCTAGCTTTGCCCCTCCCCGGATAATTTTCTGCTAACGCATAACACAGAATATCTTCGTTTATTCTCTTACGTGTTATTTTATACAATAAACTAATTGATAAATTATATATACAGCTATAAATAATTACCGACAAATAATTTTTTGCGATTTCTATAAAGGTTTCATTTTAAATTAGTTGCAGGTTATTCTAATCAGCATTTTGAAACAATCATTCGTAATATCTCGATATCCCTATTCGCAACATTTCTTCTGGTATCTGTAAATTAAATTTCAAAACAGCAATTAAAATATCAAAATATTCACTCAAAATTTAATATGTTAACAGATAAATGTATTTGTTTTAATATAAATTTCTGCTTTGTTTTCAAATGTTATTTTTTACCATTAATGGTTACTTGTGTGATACGTGACATTATCCAATTATTCGAGAATAAATAACACTGATATAATAAGGATTCCGGAATTATGTTTTTAGTATTTATTAATCCGACTATCCATTATAATTTATTCTACCGGATAAAATAAACTACAGTTAAATAAAGAGATAATGGCAAAGTTAATAATGTACAGCTATATAATGTTTTAATTGTTTAATTAATTGTTTTCATATAATCTAACATCTTTCAAGGGAAAATTTTTGAATTGAAATAACGTGATTTTCGGTTTGCGTAATCAGGGCCTCCTACTCCTAAGGTTTTCACGTATGGTCTCGTTTAAATCTATATAACTCCGTTCTCGGGATTAAGGAAAGACAAACGGACGGACAGACGACAGTGAGAATTTATAATTCTACAATGTTTTCAAATTGCAGCCCAGTAAAGTTTTACTTTCCCGACTCTGTTATATATAACAGAGGTAAAGTATGGTAATCGTTCAAAAAATGACTCCCAAGGTTTTTATATTTTTGGACTCAAGGGACCTTGAAACGTCGAGATGTGGAAAAAAGATTTTTTTCTACGTGTATTGATGTTCTTGTGGGGACACAATTTCTTTCACCCAGTTTGAAGCTTAATAACTGCTGGACTTTTGTTAAAAATTTCTAAAATTTTGCAGAGAGATTTGTGCATTAAGGAGAAATATTTCTAGAAATTTTCAACAAAACTGCACTATTCAGACATGGTCGTCATCCCCTTAATATCTCCTCAACCAATCTCGAGACATAAAAGGGATGAAAATAAATAATGCTGGAAACGTCTAGCAAGAATATTGCCAGTTTTCTAACACCTAACATCACTATATTTTCAATAAAAATATTATTTTTTATTATAATATTCTGTGCAAAATTTTCATTTTAAGAACTTTATAAACAAATTTAGAGAAAAATCTACACATTGGCATTAAAAATAACTCATTTATTTAACAAGAAAATATTGAAAGAATACAGTATAACAAAGAGAGCTGTACATTACAATAATTTGATCTATTATAAAGACTTGAAAAATTGTAAATAAATTCAATATTTTAATAAATATGTTTATATAAAGTTTGAAGAAATTTAAAGGGATAAAAAAAATTCGAAATATATAAATATATTTATATGTATCAACAGTTATCTTAATATGAAAATTTTCCACTCTAAGTGCTGAACCAATTACGAAATTTTATTTTTCGTATTATAACACACATAAAAAAATGTATTTATTCGAAATATCTTATCAATACTTTAAACAAACTTTGTGATGGATTTTTTAAACTTATGTCATACATTTATTTATTTATTTATTAATCGAAAACAGCAAGAAATAAAATTATGTTTTACAAATTTCTAACGTAAATAACGTTTTGAAAGTATCAACAAGTAGAATTAATTTATAGTAAATTTAATTATGATTATTAAAGAATCACACCCAAGATTTATTGGATTGGAATTTTAGAATATATACATTTCCACTGTCGTCTGTCTGTTTGTCTATTTGTCTGACCTTCGTTAATATCGAGAGGTTAGATAGATAAAAATTGAGACCATAGCTTAGGTGTCGAATACCTTACAAACTATACACCAACTTCCCGTCTTTACTGGAAGTCACGCAATTTTTTAATATTAAAATATAATTAAAAATTGCAAATCGGCATTGTGATGATGTCATAATAAATAATTTCTCGTTTATTGTGATATCATTACAATTTTAAATCATATTTTAATGTATATAGTTTAAAATAAATGCTCTCAATTTTAGTAATATCTTGCCCCTGTAAATCATACTATACCTTTTAACAATAAGGTTATGCTGGTCATCTATTTAACCTCACTCAGCAGAAAACTTTTGAATTAAAACAATTGCCGAGCAATTATTGGGCTGCAATTTTAAAATTTGTCGTATTTCGGACTCTACTCGAAATAAGACACGTGACTTACTCTATCTCCCCATCCCCTCGATCTTTAATCATCAAAATTTAATGGTATGAATTCCTCTAATATACAAACTTCATTGCAAAATTTCAGACATTTTCGACAAAATGCACAAGAGTTATTATGCTTCAAAGAGAGTAAACAAAATCCTCTCTGTTATATATAACAGAGGTAAAGTATGGTAATCGTTCAAAAAATGACTCCCAAGGTTTTTATATTTTTGGACTCAAGGGACCNTATGGCTTTTCATGAATTTTTCCTCTTAATAAAAAGAAAACATTGTAAAAAATATGAAAGGCATTTAATTAAAGTTGAAATGTAGTTGAATATATATTGCCCTGGCTTTCAAAATGAGCTGAAATCTTTTACGAATTTTAAGAATTCCTTTCACATTTTTATCGTATATAAATTTAAATATATATTATTCGAATAAATATTCCACGGGAAATTTCTTCTGATGATAGTGTTTTTGTGAATAAAGTAAAGTATTATATCAGATAATATGAAACCAAATCCAAGAACGACGATTATGAAAACTATTTATCACTCTTACTGAAATTTTATCAAAACTTAATTGTAATTGCAGCAATTATTGTAATAAATTTTAGTTTATTTTTAGAAAATAACTGTTTTATTATGACTTTTTTTTCTGTGTAAAACATTTATAACAATCTCATTTTTTTAAGTAGTAAAAATCACTTACGGGTTTCTATTTTCTGATGTATTATACTCATTTTTATTAATTTTTTTCGGCTCAATTGTAAATGAAAACTTCAATTTCTAAATGTTTTAATGATAATACATAAGTTAAAAAATCTAGAATTTTGAATAAATATTAACAGAAGTAAACTATAATTAAAATCTATCCCATGATAGCTTTTCTCTCGTATACGATAGGAAACACACAATTAATTTTGTTGGTTAAATTGAATTATTGTATCTTATTTCATATGAAAGAAAAGACGACATGTTTGGATGCTTTCAGTACTGATAAATAATCCATATATCATCCATTATTACTGTAGTCAATGCTGTTTTGTGCGTAGAAAATTGTATAAAAGACTAACAAATGAATATCAATAAGTAGTTTGATAAATTTATTTATTTTATTAAACATTATTTTTTAAATTTAATTTAAAAAATAATTACTTTCGTGAAAGTATATTTATAGAAAATTCCTGTAGAATTTAAAGATAAATGTAATATTGATATAAAAAGAATACTTTGATGATAATAGAATGGTGAGAATTTGTCTTTTCTTGTGTCGAAATATGTCTTTTTATTAATTTTGATTATTCAAATTAAATTAACTTTAATTTAATTTAAATAAATATTTGCATATAATATATATATATTACATGTTTTAGAGGTTTTACCCCTTTCAGGGAGATGTTCAGGACACGAAGAACGATTTTGAAGTTGCTACCGAGATCGGAAGGAGTTTCACCATTTTAAAAACGTTACAGGAAAGGAAATTTGTTTTAACGATTTAACTGTAAGGTCGCTATTTTCGGGTAAAGAAAAGACAGAAGTGAATTCTTTTGATTTTATTCCTAAGATGTCTACCCTAGTAGACTACTCCCTTGTTAGGAATAGTCTAAATATGGTTTTTGCTAACGCTTCTGCCCTTAGTGACATAACTAAGATTTTGCTCTGGGGATGATCTGGGAGGACGTTCTAAAAAGTAGTCAGAACGAAGAAAAGCTAAGCTTCAATACCCGTCAGACAAACGTTCTAGAACAGACCTGCACAGCTTGGTAGTGGGTAGAGGACCAAAATTAAAATAAGTTAACTTCTTCGGGAACATTGCTGATTACTTTCCACTTGTCACGGTGTCCGTATTTAATTTTTTTATTGATTCGAACAATCTGTGTCATTTGATGTCGCCGAATAGTTCTGTCCGATGACTCGAAGTCGGATAGTTGCAGGAATTTTATAAAACAACTTATCTTTGTGTACCAGATAATTGGAATCGCATCCTTTAACACACGTAAACCATAGTCACTCACTGTCACTGACGTATTTTTAGCGGCTCACATTCCAAGTGAAGTCTTGGAGATCCAACATTTGCATCATTCTCCATAAATATGCCATAGCCACAGTGGGGTTATAGCTTTAGGGGGTCTAAGCAGATTTGAATTACGGGGCTCAAGTACAGTGTTGACTTCAGACATTTTTCTTCTGGGATATTTTTAAGGAAGTTTGAGGAGGTGGTAAGTTTTTGCGGTTGAGATTTGTGATGAACAGTTGTTGACAACAAACATATAGGCCTCTCAAATATTCTCAAATATTCTCAAATATTTACAATGTTACACTTTTATATTGTAGTGTACGTTGTTATATACTGTACAGTACAATATGTATTGTGCTTAGTGTATGTAGACCTTTATCACTGAATCACATCAGATGATGAAACTCGTTCCGTTGTCGTCATGTTGGTTCCGATGTGGTGAATGATGAGACAAATACGTCAAAAAGAGGGTTTACCCAGCTACTATGTTTTAGAATGTTTAAGTAGGCCCAATCAATTAAATCTATTTGATAACAATGTTTAACTTCATTTTTATTCAAAACGAACTGTTAATATTAGAAGCCGTCCATTAATTACTGTACGTGTACAGTTTAAATAGATTTTTCATTTTAAAACATTATTTGCTGCAAGGTCTATTAGTTCTAGTTGACTTTTCAAAATTAGTTTTCAAAGCTGTAGTTTGGAGACCCAGGACACACTTAAAGGGGGGGATTTGTCGAAAGTATATCATTGTACACAATGGGTATAGAAAGGATTGAAAGTGGATTAAAAACTGTACACGTAGTGAATGGACGGTTCCTTACAAACGAAACAATATGACTATTTTGAACACTTTTAATACTGTAAATTTAACACTTATGAACACTGGAGTGCAATGATAATCATTTTCTTGTGTGTATGTTTTTTGTATTTAACTCTTTGCTATGTTTTTTGTTTATTTTTGTTTTTGTTTCCAATAAGTCACGAAAAAGTAATTAATTATGTTATGACTTTCTTTGACATTATTTCTATATCTTCATTTTGTATATATCGTGTTAATTATGTATCTTTTAACAAATCTTGTCAATTAAATTAAATTAATCAACCTATAGACTTAAGATAGTTAGCATTCACACTTTAATAACAGCTTAATTATTTACACGTTTAGAGTGCTTCTCTATAACAATAAAG